TTATATAACTATATGCATTCTTTCAGATCCGGTTTCGAATTGATCTTAAAAAAATACTAACAAGAATAAAGGTGTAAGTTTTTTACTGCAACGAAGGAAGAGACTGCCTAAATAGAATATCCTGTAGAAACCCAAAGTCAGTACAGAAAAGAAAACACTTTCTTTGAAACACTTGAAAAACAAGACAAAAGGCTGGTTATTTGAATAGCAGTGATAGACTGCTCTATCTGGGGATTTCCACTGATCTTTTCTAAAAGAATTCCAAAAGATACCATCTTATCATCTACAAATATCTTGGTGGGAGGCACAAACGTACTTACATTGAGTCAGGCAGGAATGCTCCCCCTTCTCAATCTGAAACTTAATAGAGCAAAGTTGCCAGGAGTTGCCTCAAATGCATGCAGTACCACTCCTGTCTGCTCTTGCATATTCTGTGCATTTGGAATCAATCCAAACTCCAAAATGGAAATAAAAGTACTTACCTCAGAAGGTTGTTGGAGGATTAAATCATTTGAGTTTTATTATCCAAAGTAATTAACATGTTTGAAAGCTGCAAATTTAAGACTTAAAATCCGGCCGGGCGCGGTGGCTCAAGCCTGTAATCCCAGCACTTTGGGAGGCCGAGGCGGGTGGATCACGAGGTTGAGAGATCGAGACCATCCTGGTCAACATGGTGAAACCCCGTCTCTACTAAAAATACAAAAAACTAGCTGGACATGGTGGTGCGTGCCTGTAATCTCAGCTACTTAGGAGGCTGAGGCAGGAGAATTGCCTGAACCCAGGAGGCGGAGGTTGTGGTGAGCCGAGATCGCGCCATTGCACTCCAGCCTGGGTAACAAGAGCGAAACTCCATCTCAAAAAAAAAAAAAAAAAAAAAAAGACTTAAAATCCAACTTTAAAAAATCTCAGGCTGGACACATCAGCCCTGTGATACCAGCACTTTGGGATGCCAAGGCAGGAGGATCACTTGATCCCAGGAGTTCGAGCTTAGTCTGGGCAACATGGGGAAACCCTGTCTCTACATAAAATTAAAAAAGAATAAAAACCCAGTGCCCAGACTCTTGCCTTAGGAGGATATTTCACCTTTCTGCTTTTGCCTTTCTTTTTAGGAGAAGATGTCATCTCTAATATATCTTAGATCTCTAAAATGTCTCAATGTCATTCTTTGGACTAAAAACATTTTGGCTAATGAGATGTTTTAAACCTAGCTTAAAACCAATTGAGATGGATTTTCATTCTTATTGCCCACGCTGGAGTGCAGAGGCATGCTCTTGGCTCACTGTAACCTCCGCCTCCTGAGTTCAAGTGATTCTCCTGCCTCAGCTTCCCGAATAGCTGGGATTACAGACATGTGCCACCACGCCTGGCTAATTTTGTATTTTTAGCAGAGATGGGGTTTCTCCACGTTGGTCAGGTTGGTCTCAGACTCCCAACCTCAGGTGATCTGCCAGCCTCGACCTCTCAAAGTGCTGGTATTACAGGCGTGAGCCACTGCGCCCAGCCCCCAAATTATTTCCTGAACAGCTTCAACATGTCTAAAACTGACCCAAATATTTTGGAGGCACGAAATTATAGCTATAAGACACACTTCCTGACCTCAAGGAGTTGAAGAACTGAAGGAAGCAGAGATGGCTGCAAAAAGAATGGACTTCTGACTGACTTCAGGTCAGGCTTGGAGGAAGGAAAGAATTTTAATCAATGGAAGAAAGGGCATAGGATGAAGAATACAAAGTCTATATTCTTTCTTTAATTTTAATCCTGATTTTGTGGCCTTGAACAAACCATTCATCACTTTTTCCCCTTCACAAATCCACCAGTATTGAGGGCCTACTATATATAAAGTATTGTGCATCAATTAACTAATGAGGTGGGCAGGTCATCTGAGGTCAGCAGTTTGAGACCAGGCTGGGCAACATAACAAAATCCTGTCTCTACTAAAAATACCTTGGCCACGTATGGTGGCTCACGCCTGTTAACTCCAGCACTTTGGGAGGTTGAGGCAGGCAGATCACGTGGTCAGGAATTTGAGACCAGCCTGACCAACATGGTGAAACCTGGTCTCTACTAAAAATATAAAAATTAGCTGGGCGTGGTGGCTTGTGCCTATAATCCCAGCTTCTCAGGAGGCTGAGACAGGAGAACTGCTTGAACCTGGGAGGCAGAGGTTGCAGTGAACCAAGATTGAGCCAATGCACACCAGCCTGGCAACAGAGCAAGATTTCGTCTCAAAAAAACAACAACAACAAAAAAACGGGAGGGTGAGGGGAAGCTGGGAAAAAAATTAATTAATTAAAATAGATAAAATAAAAGATTTTCCAATCTAAGATTAAATAAGAGGTAGCTCAAAACTAAAAATAACTCCAAGCTCACATGATATTGGTATTATAAAACAAAATTTTTTTTTTTTCTTTTTTTAAAGAGATAGAATTCTCACTATCACCCAGGCTGACGTGCAGTAGCATGACCATGGCTCACTACAGCCTCTAACTCCTGGGCTCAAGCTATCCTTCCATCAGCCTCCTGAGTTGCTGGGCTACAGGCAGGCATAACTAGATTTTAACTGCACCTAGTTAAAATCTATTTTAGTAAAGATAAATTTTTAAACCTGCTTTTGTCATTTCACCCTTTCTCAATCAAAAACAAAGCATGAAACCTAAATTTAACATATGTAGACTTTTTACTATTTAGAACAGTTACAGTGTGTGAAACAAAATAAATATGTAAAAATTACTCTTTGCATTAAATTTTCAGATTCATGCTCCATTCTCCTCCCATTTGAAACCATAGCTGTCTTTTGCCACTGAAAACAGTACTTCATTTGATAGTTGTGGAAATAGCCTATGCCATTCAACAACCAGTTTATGATAGAACACTGAATTTATCTAACAAAAACACAACACGCCTATCAGTACTTCCCTTTGTCCTGTGTATTCTAAACCTTTGCCAAAAGCAGAGGAAAGAAAGTACAGATGGACAGGATATCCTTAAACTATTTAGTTGGCTCTATTCATTCAGAGAGAAGTCTAGTGTCTGATTCATAGTTAGAAATTTAAATTAGGGCTGGTTGTGGTGGCTCACATCCATAATCCCAGCACTTGGGAGGCTGATTGGGCAGATTACTTAAGGTCAGCAGTTCAACGCCAGCCTGGCCAACATGGTGAAATCCTGTCTCTATTAAAAGTATAAAAATTATCTGGGCATGGTGGTGTACACCTGTAATCCTGGCTATTCTGGAGGCTAAGGCAGGAGAATAGCTTGAATCTAAGAGGCAGTTGCACTGAGCCAAGATCCTGCCACTGCACTCCAGCCTGTCCTAGGGCTAAAAGGTAGATCTCCCTCAATGAGCAGTCTGCCTGTCACTAGGCAAGCTTTGAAGTGCTGAACCCTTTGCCCAAAGGGAAATGAGGAAATCCTGGTTTTTCAAGATTCACATATTACCTCCAATACAGCTCGTGGCTTAAGAGAGTGAAGTTAAGGAGAAAAGCAGACAAAAATTTCTTAAGGGGAGTAACAGAAACCAAGTACCTCTAAATTTACTTATAGAAAATAACAACACATTGACTTTAGGGTCGTGGCCACATTTTGATGTCCTTGTCCATTTTGATATAATTTTTAATATTATATATGCATATTAAGTCACTATACATCCAATACAGTTCAGCAAATATTCCAGAGAACCTAGTAGTGGGTATTGGATAATTATGTTTAGTACTGAAACTATACCAGCCTTTTAGTGATGCCAAACCACTTAATCTCCATAAGCCTGTAATCTCATCAGTGAAGATAAAATTGTGACATTTGCATGGCTATGGTGAGGATTTAAAAAGCCAGTGAATATAAAGGCCTGATTATAGCATGTTCCTTAACTCAAACAGTGTTTTTTGTTGTTGTTGTTGTTGAGACGGAGTTTCGCTCTTGTTACCCAGGCTGGAGTGCAATGGCGCGATCTCGGCTCACCGCAACCTCCGCCTCCTGGGTTCAGGCAATTCTCCTGCCTCAGCCTCCTGAGTAGCTGGGATTACAGGCACGTGCCACCATGCCCAGCTAATTTTTTGTATTTTTAGTAGAGACGAGGTTTCACCATGTTGACCAGGATAGTCTCGATCTCTTGACCTTGTGATCCACCCGCCTCGGCCTCCCAAAGTGCTGGGATTACAGGCTTGAGCCACCGCACCCGGCCTCAAACAGTGTTTTTGCCTTTTTCTTTCCTTCTTTTTTCCTTAGTAGACAGACAGCTCTATAATCTTAAAACTTACAGTCCGGAAGAAGATACACTATAATCATGACAAGGAAACAATCAGGATAAGGATAAGAATACTACTATTACTAATAATAGTAGAAGTTAATACTTAGGTAGAACTTGTTGTAATTAAAGCATTATTCTTGGGTTTTATTTTTTAAGATGGAGGTCTCAGGTCTCACTATGTTGCCCAGGTTAGTCTCAAACTCCTGGGCTCAGAGATCCTCCTGCCTCAGCCTCTCCAGTAGCTGCGACTCTAGGCGTGTCCATGGCACCCAGCTATGGTACTATTCTAAGGACTGTCCACATTTATCTCATTAATCAAACCTTTTAACAACCTTCTGAGGCAAGTAACTAGGGCCATGATAGTACTATATAAATATGTGGGAGTGACTCTCTAAACTCCATTCTTGAGTGGTTGTGGAAAGTACCTTCTTGGAATTAATATTAGATAAAACGATGTGGGGGTATGGGCTTGGGATGGTGAAAGATGTTCTGAATAAAAAGTAACCATGTATGAATGCCCAGAGGTGAAAATGCACACATGGATAGATGATCAAAGAACCAAAAGGAGTTCCATTCAGGCAACAAACATGTGAAATACACAAGCGATCTACAAATCCACATAATAGGCAACATGGTGACTGGGGTGATATACAAAGAGAGGCACTCTTAGGAAAGGCAGAGTTTCATAAAGGCAAGAAGAGTTGGCTGATGGGTAAACCAACTGCACGGTTGGCAAAATGCTGGAGAAGCCCACCTGTCAGCAACAGCCTGTACTGGGGGATCCTCTGAACCGGCTTGAGCAGGTAGTGCTTGAGGGCCAGATTAGCACAGCGAGGGCTCATCTGAAAGGAGAAGGCATCAAAAATAAGCATGAGTGTTTTGTAAGAAGCAAGGGACCCACATTCAAGTGCTCAGGAAGCCAAACTTTAAACACCAAGCAACTCTTGAAAGTGCTTTGGAGAGGCTCCCTTTCATTTTAAGGTACAGCTGTTACATACACTGAGAGTAAACTCCAGCTAGATTCACCACCAAGCCCCACCCTTTCCTGTAGGCAGCCCCTGAAATCACTTGCTCCTAGGGAAAACTTGTTCACAGCCCTCTTAAAGAGGGTGGTGGCCACAGTCTGTGTCCTAAGCTAGTTAGAGCCCACCCTACCCAGCAGCTCCCATTTGTATTGATAAATACAAACAAATCCCAACGGACCAAGAAGGAAATGCGTGGCCCCCAAAATAAGGCAGTGGAAATACAACTGCCAGGAATTAGATTCAAATAATAATCAGAGCCTTGCAGTCAATATAGTCACCATAATGGTGGTGGCGGGGAGAACTGTAGAAAGTAAAGATAACCTGAAACGCAGGCTTGCTAAGTATCCCTTCTTTAAGAAGCCTGAACAATGTAAATATCTTTTGCAGATGCATGTCCTTATATAAAAAGCCCCCAAATCACAGTTTTTACAGGAGCATCTGATTGTGGGACCACATTTTGGCTTGACTATAAAGACGTTTGATTATCCCTTGAAACCTCTCTTCCTTAGAATGTACAACCGACATCTATGTCAGCCCATTCCTGAGCCTCACCCTCATTCTCCAACCTAAGAGTTTACTGTGAGGTGGCATCAAAAAGGCCAAGTAAAAATGTCACTGCATCCTAAGAACTACAAAAAAATGTCAAGCTTCTAGCATAGCCCAACTTGGTGGATAAGTTTTTTCAGATTTGCTCAGACTTTTATCATTTTCTAAATACGTTTCACCACTGTCTGGTACACAGAGTGATTATTAAATTATAACGATCATGCATGTTAAGAAAGTATCTTTCATTTAAGCATCATTAATCCAGATTGCTAATTATCCTGGCCTTATGACTTCCTGTTTTCTTTTCTTTCTTTTTTCTTTTTGGAGACAGAGATTTGCTCTTGTTCCTAGGCTGGAGTGCAATGGTGTGATCTCAGCTCACCGCAACCTCCGCCTCCTGGGTTTAAGTGGTTCTCCTGCCTCAGCCTCCTCAGTTGCTGGGATTACAGGCATGTATCACCAAGCCCAGCTAATTTTATATTTTTAGTAGAACTGGGGTTTCTCCATGTTGGTCAGGCTGGTCTCAAACTCCCGACCTCAAGTGATCCCTCCGCCTCAGCCTCCCAAAATACTGGAATTATAGGTGTGAGCCCGGCTTGGTTCCCTGTTTTGTTGTTGTTGTTGTTGTTGTTAATAAGGTAATAGAATAACTCACTGGACTCTTACCAAAACCTGGGTCAATCATCAATTGCCACAATTAAATCATACTTTTTTTTTGAGACAGAGTTTCACTCTTGTTACCCAGGCTGGAGTGCAATGGCGCAATCTCGGCTCACTGCAACCTCCGCCTCCTGGGTTCAGGCAATTCTCCTGCCTCAGCCTCCTGAGTAGCTGGGATTAAAGGCACGTGCCACCATGCCCAGCTAATGTTTTGTATTTTTAGTAGAGACGGGGTTTCACCATGTTGACCAGGATGGTCTCGATCTCTTGACCTCGTGATCCACCCGCCTCTGCCTCCCAAAGTGCTGGGATTACAGGTGTGAGCCACCGCGCCCAGCCCTTTTTTTTTTTTTTTTTTTTTAAGATGGAGTTTCGCTCTTGCTACCCAGGCTGGAGTGCAATGGCGCGATCTCAGCTCACTGCAACCTCCGCCTCCTGGGTTCAGGCAATTCTCCTGCCTCAGCCTCCTGAGCAGCTGGGATTACAGGCACGCGCCACCATGCCCAGCTAATTTTTTGTATTTTTAGTAGAGACAGGGTTTCACAATGTTGACCAGGATGGTCTCAATCTCTTGACCTAGTGATCCACCTGCCCCAAAGTGCTGGGATTATAGGCGTGAGCCATACTTTGTTTTTTGATAGCACAAAGACAACAGAGGAGAGGAAAAGATTACAGGTGACTTTAAAGTTTATTTATTTATCTATTGCCCAAATCAGAAAGCAGCCATATTATAATGTTTTAAAAACTTTTCATTTCGGCTGGACATGGTGGCCAACACGGTGAAACCCCCTCTTTAAAAAAACAAACAACAAAACAAAAAACAACAAACAAACAAAAACAAAAAACTTTTCTAGTTTTTTTAGAAATGAAAAAACTAGAATTCAGTGATCTTTTTAAAGTTTCAAAACAGAGAAATAAGTACTAAAATATAGTACCCAATTTTTATTCCAAATTGGTGGAATGGATTTGTGATTTTATCCCCAATTAAATCAGGGTTCCACTCTCACAATTCTGAGTCAAGAGTAAAAGCTTTGGCTAACACATGCTCTAAACAGGTTATTACTGTTTCTTAACTTTGGCACCAAAATCATGTTATTTATTTATCTGAAGAGAAACAAATTCTCTTTGCCATCCATCATTGTAAGTTAGTTGTTAGGATAAAAGAAAAAGTTAAATTAAAAGTTAAGAAATGTTCCTTAGAGTAATCAATTCATTGAGTCAGAAAGTAGAATGGTGGTTGCCAAGGGCTGGGAGGGAAGAGAGAATGGCGAGTTAATGTTTAATGCCTGCAGTTTCAGTTTTGCAAGATGAAAAGTTCTACAGATCTGGTTGCACAAGAATGTCAATGTACTTAACACTACTGAACTGTACACTTAAAAACGGTTAAAATGGTAAGTTTATGCTATATGTATTTTACCATAGTTTAAAAAGTCCCATCAGAATATTCTTTTCGGCTAGGCGCAGTGGCTCATCACTTTGGGAGGCCAAGGAGGGTAGACCACCTGAGTTCAGAAATTCAAGACCAGACTGGCCAACATGGTGAAACCCCATCTCTACTGAAAATACAAAAAATCAGCCAGGTGTGGCGGTGCATGCCTGTAATCCCAGCTATTCAGGAGGCCAAGGCAGAAGAATTGCTTGAACCTTGGAGACGAGGTTGCAATGAGCTGAGATTGTGCCATTGTACTCCAACTGGGGCCACAGAGCAAGTCTCTGTCTTAAAAAAAAAAAAAAAAAAAAAAAAAAAAAAATTCTTAAGCTCCTCTTTCCCCACCCTTTTCCCATCCCCCCATTAAAAAATTGTTTCCAAGTCAAAATATTCCCATGTGCAATAACAGATTTTCAAAATTAAGTCATGTATACTGCTTGAGTTCTCACCATTTAAATTGTTCAATTCCTTCTTTGATTTTGAAGGGATTATATTTTAACATCTTTTTGTTTGCAAGCTTTGTTTTCAATGACTGTAATTTATTATTAAAGCTTCACAACAAAAACAAAGAGAAGTGTTCAACATTAGATGGTAGCAAATACCTCAAATTCTCTAACAACAGCAGCAAAACCTGGATTTTTCTTGCACTGTTCATCCAACAAGGCTATATTCTTATCAAATTCTTTGATGTAGGTGGAATACATTTTTAGATATGGTCCCTTTTTTACAAAGATATCAGCAATTCTTTGTTGTTCAGTCCTGTGGATAGAGAAGAGATACACACAAATATAAAGAGAGAGTGATTAACATATCCAGTGATAAGCAGAATCCACATCGAAGGCATCAACTTATCTTTTTTTTCTCTTCTTATAAGACATATCTCAAAGATCCGGGCGCTGTGGCTCATGCCTGTAATCCCAGCACTTTGGGAGGCTGAGGCGGGTGGATCATGAGGTCAAGAGATCGAGACCGTCCTGGTCAACGTGGTGAAACCCCGTCTCTACTAAAAACACAAAAAATTAGCTGGGCATGGTGGTGCATGCCTGTAATCCCAGCTACTCAGGAGGCTGAGGCAGGAGAATTGCCTGAACCCAGGAGGTGGAGGTTGCGGTGAGCCAAGATTGCGCCCTTGCACTCCAGCCTGGGTAACAAGAGCGAAACTCAGTCTCAACAAAAAAAAAAATAAATAAAAATAAATAAAAATAAAAAAGACATATCTCAAAGAAAAAAATAAAAGAAAAAAAAAAAAGAAAAGACAGATCTCAAAATGCCTACTCTTCACCATTTCCACTGCCACTATCACTGCCTAGACTCTCACTGGTCTCCCTGCTTCCATTCTTGCCCTCTCCAAACCATTCTTCAGCACAAGGGGAGAGTTTAAAAAAATATTTGTCGGCCGGACGTGGTGGCTCATGCCTGTAATCCAAGCACTTTGGAGGCCAAGGTGGGCGGATCACCTGAGGTTGAGAGTTCAAGACCGGCCTGACAAACATGGTGAGACCCTGTCTTAAAAATAAAAAAAATTTGTCATACCATATGACTTATAATGGCCCTATATTACATACAGGATGAAAACAAACTCCTGGGCCAGGTACAGCAGCTCACACCTGTAATCCCAGCACTTTGGGAGGCTGAGGTAGGTGGATCATCTGAGGTCAGGAGTTTAAGACCAGCCTGGTCAACATGGTAAAACCGACTCTCTACTACAAATACAAAAATTAGCCTGGCAAGGTGGCTCACACCTGTAGTACCAGCTACTTGCAAGGCTCAGGCAGGAAAATTGTCTGAATCCAGGAGGTATAGGTTGCAGTGAGCTGAGATCACACCATTGCATTCTAGCCTGGGTAACAGAGCAAGATTCCATTAAAAAAAAAAAAAAAAAAAAAAAAATCCTTGGCCGGGGAGGTGGCTCATGCCTGTAATCCCAGTACTCTGGGAGGCTGAGGCGCACAGAACACTTGAGGTCAGAAGTTGGAGACCAGCCTGGCCAACATGGTGAAAGCCCATTTCTACTAAAAATACAAAAATTAGCTGGGTGTAGTGGCACACGCCTGTAATCCCAGCTACTCAGGAAGCTGAGGCAGGAGAATCACTTGAACCCAGTAGGTGGAGGTTGCAACGAGTCGAGATTGCACCACTGCACTCCAGCCTGGGCGATAGAGTGAGACTGTCTCAAAAAAAGAGAAAAAGAAGAAAAATAAACTCCTTACCTGGCATACAAAGGCCTACCCTTTCTGATCCCTGTCACACTTCTCTTCCTCGTCCCCATTTCTCTCCCACCACACTGGCCTTCTTGATCTGCTTTGGACACATGGAGTTCATCTGCACTATGCAGACTTCCACTAATGGTTCCACATGCCTGGAAATATAGAACTCTGGTTGCCTCCTCCTTTTTTTTTCAGATGTCAATGTAAATACACCGTCTTCACAGAGGGCCTTCCTTGACCACCCAAGCTTCATTCACTACCACAGCATCCTATTTTCAGTCTCTGCAACTCAAAAACTGCTTCTGATAGTTTTCATATCTGTTTATCTGGTCCCTCCCCTATTAAATGTCTGCTCCATGAAAGCAAGAAATCCGTTTTGTGCACTGGGATAACACCTACATACTTAGAGCACAGACTAGCACACAGTAGACACACAAACCTTGTTGAATGTTAAAATAAAATATTTCATCAATTCTTTTTAAAGCCAATGGAAAAGTTATTTCAGAATCAACTAAAACCAAAGAATATGTATTGACGTGAAACCTATGAGAAAAACTATTTTAATAAATAGAAAATTAGGCTGCGTGCAGTGGTTCATGCCTATAATCCTAACACTTTGGGAGGCTGAGGAGAAAGGATCACTTGAGCCCAGGAGCTGAAGACCAGCCAGGGAAATATAGGGCAACTTGTCTCTACAAAAAATTAGCTGGGCGTGGTGGGGCATGTCTGCAGTCCCAGCCACTTGGGTGGCTGAGGTGGGAAGGATCACTTGAGCCCTGGGAAGCCCAGGCTTCAGTAAGCCGTGGTCACACCATTGAACTCTTGGCCTAAACAAGAGTGAAACTCTGTCTCAAAAAAGAAGAAGAAAAAGAAAGATCTGAAGCAAATAAGCTGCCCCTCTTTTAAAAAAAAATTTAAAACAAGAAAAAAAAGGAATTTTTTTTTTTTTTTTAGATGGAGTCTTGCTCTGTCACCCAGGCTGGAGTCCAGTGGCATGATCTTGGCTCACTACAACCTCTGCCTCCCAAGTTCAAGCGATTTTCCTGCTTCAGCCTCCTGAGTAGCTGGGACTACAGGTGCGAACCACCACACCTGGTTGATTTTTATATTTTGAGTAGGGATAGGATTTCACCATATTAGCCAATCTGATCTCAAACTGCTGACCTGGTGACCTGTCTCAGCCTCCCAAAGAGCTGGGATTACGGGCATGAGCCCCCATACCCAGACAGTAATTTTTTTAGAAAAGAAAAGAAGGCCAGGTGTGGTGGCTCACGTTTGTAACCCTAGTACTTTGGGAGGCTGAGGTTGGTGAATCAGCTGAGATCAGGAGTTGAAGTCCAGCCTGGCCAACATGGTGAACCCCATCTCTACTAAAAATACAAAAATCAACCGGGTGTGGTGGCGTGCACCTGTAATCCCAGCTAACTGAAAGGCTGAGGCATGAGAATCGTTTGAACCCGGGAGGTGGAGGTTGCAGTGAGCTGAGATTGCGTCCAGCCTGGGTGACAGATGGAGACTCAATGAAGGGAAGGGGAGGGGAGGGGAAGAGAGATCTCATCCAAGGATTATAAAAATTTTGTCAGTAATAAGTGCTTTACCCATAATTGTAGTTTTAGGTGTTTCTTTCATCAATTTAGTTTGTTTTTCAGGAATGCTTAATATTTTAACACAGAACATCCACAGTTATAAACTTTTGGAAACTTTTAGTATAAGCAAAAAATATATTTAAGCCTCTTTACCACACTTGCTTCCACAAATATATATATATATATGTTTTTAAGACAATTCAGATTAATTTTTTTTTTTTTTTTTGAGACAGAGTTTCGCTCTTGTTACCCAGGCTGGAGTGCAATGGCACGATCTTGGCTCACCGCAACCTCCGCCTCCTGGGTTCAGGCAATTCTCCTGCCTCAGCCTCCTGAGTAGCTGGGATTACAGGCATGTGCCACCATGCTCAGCTAATTTTTTTTTTTTTTGTATTTTTAGTAGAGACGGGGTTTCACTATGTTGACCAGGATGGTCTTGATCTCCACCCGCCTCGGCCTCCCAAAGTGCTGGGATTACAGGCTTGAGCCACCGCGCACGGCCCAGATTAATTTTTAAGATACTTTTTTGGCCGGGCGCGGTGGCTCAAGCCTGTAATCCCAGCACTTTGGGAGGCCGAGGCGGGTGGATCACAAGGTCAAGAAAAAAAAAAAAAAAAGATACTTTTTTTTAAGAAGAAAATGACAAAGAATATATAGGAATATCCTTGGTAATTATATTTTACTTCTTTTTTTCCTTTTCCTGAGATGGAGTCTCGCTCTGTCATCCTGGCTGGAGGCTCACTGAAGCCTTTGCCTCACAGTTCAGCCTCCCAATTAACTGGGATTACAGGCACCCACCACCATCTCTGGCTAATTTTTGTACATTTAGTAGAGACCAGGTTTTGCTGTATTGGTCAGGTTGGTATCAAACTCCTGACCTCAGTGATCCACCCACCTCAGGCTTCCAAAATGCTGGGATTATAGGTGTGAGCCACCACCGCCTGGCCTATCATGACCTTTAAAGACCATGTCATTCTAAAGGAATGATATTTTAGTCATTCCTCAGTCCTCAATTGTGTGTTATTTTATACTTAGGCTACTACTAAGTATTAATTGCTTATCTGCCATATTTTCCCAACATATAGAGGCAAGATATTTCCAAAACAAGCAGAGGGTATCTTTCTGGTTTACATATGAAGAAAGCTTAGAGAAATTGTTATCATGAAGGTAGGTGATACTATTTTCTTATTGTAATTATGCTGTGTTCCCCATGGTCTTCAAGAATAAATTCAATCCTCCTAGACCAATCTTTCTACATTATTTCCACAGATGTCACCAAAGCCTCTGCATACTTATTTTCTTCAGCCTAGTAGAAGTAGCTTCCAACACTAACCTTTCAGTATTCTTTTCCTGTTCTGAAATTTACAGCTTCTACAAGGATGTCATACATATATAAATTTGCCTTTCTTTGGGAGGCTGAGGTGGGTGAATCACCTGAGGTCAGGAGTTTGAGACCAGCCTGACCAATATGATAAAACCCCATCTCTACTAAAAATATAAAAATTAGCCGAGCATAATGGCATGGGCCTGTAATCCGCACTGCTGGGGAGGCCAAGACAGGAGAATTGCTTGAACCCAGGAGGCAGAGGTTGGAGTGAGCTGAGACTGCACCATCATACTCCAGCCTGAGCAACAAGAGCAAAACTCGATCTTAAACAAATAAATAAATAAATAAGTTCCCTTTCCAAATTATTTCAGTGAATGGCCTCTTTAACTGAAAAAAAGAGTTTCATGACCTGTAGTTCTAGAAGGTAAATAAAATATTCAGAAACTTCCCATGTGAATACAGCATCTGTCCACACTGAATCTCAAAAATCTTGATTGCACAAGTTCACCTAGAAATTTAAATTGGCTGCATCTTGCTTTTGAGTCAGCGTTACCAAATATTTGTTTAAAATAATAGTATTGAGCTCGGTATGCCAAGGTTGTGAATTTGGGCCTATTGAAAAATAATCAATCTGGTCAGGCATGGTAGCTGAAACCTATAATCCCAGGACTTTGGGAGGCCGAGGCAGGCAGATCACCTGAGGTCAGGAGTTTGAGACCAGCCTGGCCAACATGGTGAAACCCCATCTCTACTAAAAACACAAAAAATTAGCTGAGCGTGGTGGCAGGCACCTGTAATCCCAGCTACTTGGGAGGCTGAGGCAGGAGAAATGCTGGAACCTGGGATATCGAGGTTGCAGTGAGCTGAGATTGTGCCACTATACTACAGCCTGGGCGACAGACTGAGACTCCATCTCATAACAAAACAAAACAAAACAAAACAAAACAAAATCGATCTATGGGTAACTGCAAAGATAAGATACTGAAACAACTCAATATACATCTCTGTTGCATCTGAGGCCCTTATGGCTTCATCTAAAATTGGACACACCAGGAAAATCTGAAAACAGTCCATTTTTACCAGTGCAACATTCTTTCCTCCAGTTCCTTCAGAAGATCCCGGTTGAGCTCATACAGCTGAGGCAAGTAGTATAGGATCTGATTTAGAATCCGGTCCTCAATCACTGGTTTCCCAAGTTGCCTGGAAGCATGAGCTACTGCATCCCGGAAATCCTATTACAGTCCAGAGCAGGAAAAACAATACACACGAATGTAACTTGATAACAAGCTTTTATCCTCAGTCCCCCTCTTCCCTAAAATGATACAGACTGCACAGCTGTATTTCCCATGAGGAATTGCAAATTCAAAGTACCCCCTTCCTCCTACCCGACTCACCTAGATAGGAAATAAAAAATAGTGGCTGAGATGATTACCTGATTTTCAAACATACTATATGATATTTCTCTTAAACCTTTTAGTTTGATATCTTTACTTAGCAATTATACTAAGCAGGTGTCTGGAAACGGTAATGCAATTCTAAATAGTCTTTAGAATTATTCTAGTACAATCAATATAAACACAATCCACTTATTTAAAAAGTCCCCAGGAGATCTTAGCTAATTTTATTCTGGATTTAAGAGTCCCATTGTCCACTTTCAGTCATCATTTTCCAACAACTGGAGCATTCTAAGTGAGGCATGTGGAGAGAAGAACGTGTTGTGGGTCTCCCTCTGTTGTCCAGAATGGAGCACAGTGGCCCAATCTTGGCTCACTGCAACTTCCTGAATAACTGGGATTATACGTACGTGCCACCATGCCAGGCTCATTTTTGTTATTTTTTGTAGAGATGAGGTTTCACCATGTTGCCCAGGCTGGTCTCGAACTTCTGAGCTCAAGCAATCCTCCCACCAGGGCCTCCCAAAGTGCTGTGATTATAGGCATGAACCACCATGCCTAGCAGACACATGCTTGCTAGTCAGAACCCTGGGATACAAGCCCTTGCTCCTTATTTACTGTGTTTCTTTGGGCCAGACTGATTTTCCTCATCTGCTAAATGAGTATAATAGTTATGAGGCTTAAATTAGATACTGCACATAAAGCTTTTATTTGCAATGCATTTGGCACACAGAATCAATGAAACATTTTAACTCCGGACCTGAAATTCTCCCCTCCCTCTAGCCAATCTCTCAATAAATACACCAGGGTTTATACACTTCTCACAAATAAGAATTTTTCCCTTCACATATTATTTTTCATCTACTGTTCTCTAGACTATCTATACCATGTTTTAATACAGGTCACTATCACCACACCCTAACACGCCAGAGGACTTGGAAAGGGTGGGGTAGGAGATAAGTATTTGCCTGGATTTCATTGTCCCCTAAGGGTGGGTCTCAAGGTACAAGTAAAACAGATTGCAATCTGTTCCACAGTCCTGAGGATCCAATAACTAAGATTTGTTCCTTCTCAGAAACAGCTGTTTTAATTAAAATCTGAAAGCAAAGTTTGGATAAATGACTAATAGGCCTTATCTTCCTTTACCTTTATTTCCAACCACTTTCCTTTCAGGGATTTACTGGGTAAATGAAATCAACAAAAAAAGATGCTGTTCTTTCCAAAGATCCTTTCAACACCTGCCCCTAACATACATATATATATTAACCATGAGGTTTTTTTTTTTTTAAATACTCTGGACAACAAAAAAACACAGATAACAAGTATATGAAAGGATTCTTTTCCTAAACTATGGCAATTTTGAAGAAGTCCAATCCTCTTATGCTTATCAATGCTAAAAAAAAAAAAAAAAAAAAAAAAAACCTTCACTTAGGACTCAGTACCTGCCACTAAGTTTATTGATCCAACAGTCACATTAGCCCAAAGGAGCCAACTACTCACACCAGTAACTAAAGGACTAACTTGTATAGCTAATTAGTATCATATAAAATAAGAATATTTAATTCTCATAGTATTATAAGCTCCAATCCAAAAAGCCACACAGAACATCTCCAGAAACCAAACGGATACCAGCCAAATTTCACTTCCCAACAGCTTGCTTCAATCAGCACTCACATCTACTAAGAAAAAATAGAGCCACTTAACACTCGAAAATCATTAGATTGTCTGCTATTGGGGAAGGCTACAGAATACATTTACACGTCATGAATAATGTATTCAAAGCAGAACGGTTAAACATTCTCTGTAATATCTTTTTGCTTTTGTTTTGACCAGTGCAGTGATTAATATAATTTGGATGCAAGAGGTCCTTGCTCAGCAAAGCAATAACCACCACCCTTTCTTCTGGTGGAGTAAGTGATGACTATATTTGTCTCCTGGCAGCAGGATAACTTTTGTTTCCCAGTTGGAAGGTATTTCCTCCGCCATGACAGTGACAGTAGATGTTAGTTAAGGACCCGGTTTGACACAGCTTTTGCCAGACCCTGCATTCCATATGTTTGCCACCATTGCCAAAAAGGAAACTTGTTTATTTAAGACACATTTAACGGACAGCCTCCAAATCCAAACTGAGCTGACCAGTGAGATGGCTGCCTCTAAATGGACGCCCTTGTCACACACCAGGCAAAACTTTGCTTTTCCCAGTACTACTGGATGTGTTTAGGCAGCTCAGAATGAACTGATGGCCCATGATATCGTCTTTTAAATTATAAGTAGTATGTCAGAATAAAATAGAAATTTAATAATTAAAATAGCAAAAGTACACTTAATAAAGAGTATAAGAATTTAGAATACATATGCATGAAACCTAGAGTGTTCTTTTTTTTTTTTTGAGACAGAGTTTTGCTCTTGTTGCCTAGGCTGGAGTGCAATGGCACGGTATCGGCTCACTGCAACCTCCATGTCCCAGGTTCAAGCAATTCTCCTTCCTCAGCCTCCAGGTAGCTGGAATTACAGGCATGTGCCACCATGCCTGGCTAATTTTGTATTTTTAGTAAAGACAAGGTTTCTCCATGTTGATCAGGCTGGTCTCAAACTCCCAACCTCAGGTGATCCGCCTGCCTTGGCCTCCCAAAGTGCTGCGATTACAGGCTCTTGCCACTATGCCTGGCCTACTTTTTTTTTTTTTGAGATGAAGTTTCGCTCTCGTTGCCCAGGCTGGAGTGCAGTGGCGCAATCTCGGCTCACTGCAACCTCTGCTTCCCAGGTTCAAACAATTCTCCTGCCTCGGCTTTCTGAGTAGCTGGGATTACAGGAACCCACCCTCAAACCCGGCTAATTTTTGTATTTTTAGTAGAGATGGGAGTTTCATCATGTTGACCAGCCTGGTCTCAAACTCCTTACCTCAGGTGATCTACCTGCCTCAGCCTCCCAAAATGCTGGGATTACAGGTGTCAGCCACCATGCCCAGACTTATTTACTTATTTATTTATTTATTTTGAGACAGAGTCTTGCTCACTCTGTCATGTCCAGGCTAGAGTGTAGTGGTGAGATCTCAGTTCACTGCAACCTTCTACTCCTGGGTTCAAGCCATTCTCTTGCCTTGGCCTCCCCAGTAGCTGGGATTACAGGTTTATGCGTTTGGCTAATTTTTTGTATTTTTAGTAGAGACAGGGTTTCACCATGTTGGCCAGACTGATTTCAAACTCCTGGCCTCAAGTGATCTGCCTGTCTCAGCCACCCAAAGTGCTGGGATTATAGGCGCAAGCCATTGTGTCTAGCCAGAGAATTAAATATTTAAAGTAAGCACTCCACAAATATTCTGTACTAGTCAGGTTCCTGAATCTTTTCTTAGGTCCATCTGTGCACTTTCTTATAAAATCCAGTTTTAGCAAGAACCTCCCACCCTTGATATTGTTCGGGTTCCTCATCCTCTACCATTGCCCAGGCAATGTATGATGGCCCTGGATGGTCTGTCCTCAGCAAGAATCCTGTTAAGTTGGTTTAGCCAGAATCTCCCTTACTCCTGAAATTTCTTCTTAGTAATTTTCCATCCACTAACTCCCACTTCGCTCTTCCTTGGCTATAAATTCCCACTTGCCCATAATATATTTGGAGGTGAGCCTGATCTCTTTCCACTACTGCAAAATCCCACTGCAGTGGTTCCTATGCCTATTGTTTTTTGTTTTTGAGATGGAGTCTTGCTCTGTTGCCCAGGCTGGAGTGTGGTGCAATCTCGGCTCACTGCAACCCTTGCCTCCTGGGTTCAAGTAATTCTCCTGCCTCAGTCTCCCAAGTAGCTGGGATGACAGGTGTATGCCACCATGCCCGGCTAATTTTTGCATTTTTAGGAGAGACGGTGTTTCATCATGTTGGCCAGACTGGTCTCGAACTCCTGACCTCAAGTGAACCGCCTGCCTTGGCCTCCCACGCCTGGGATTACAGGTGTGAGCCACTGCACCAGGCCTTCTATGTCTATTGTGATAGTCCTGAATAAAGCCTTCTGCATTGTGCTTTAGCAAGTGTCACTGGCCGGGCAGGATGGCTCACACCTGTAATCCCAGCACTTTGGGAGGCCAAGGTGGGTGGATCACCTGAGTTCCGCGTCAGGTGTTTGAGACCAGCCTGACCAACATGGAGACCCCGTCGCTATAAAACAAAAGTGTCATTGAATAACTGGACTCCATTCCTAATTATGGCCTCCATAACCACATGCAGCAGCCCAGGCTGCAGTCTCATTCTCTCACCTCCTGGGCCACCATTCCCTGACAGCTGTGTGCTATGGCCCCAGTGCCAGATGCAACTAATTCACACGGGAACCACACACAGAATCTGTAACTTCTCAGCTCTTCATAAACCTCTACCATTGCCAAAACTGGTGCCACTGGGAGGAGGTGACATCTTTTTTTAATAAAAGGGATGATTACAACATATGTCTGGTTATTTTTCTAAATGTTAACAACCAGGATAATTTGGGAAAGTGTGATGACACTTAAAAGCCAGAGGCAAAGCTATTTTGAAGCAGAAGAATCTAAATTCACCAACACCTCCTTGACGAAATCAGTGAGGATGAAAGACAGCAGAATTAGCCCTTCAAAAGTTAGATCCAGAATTTAACTTTACACACTGGAAAATCTGGGTAATTAAGATATTAAAGTGGGAGGGGAGGAGTTAAGACTGTAAAAATGTTCGTTAGCTATAGAGTTTATTGGCATTCAGTACCTAGACTTCATCCTTACAATAAAACCTACCAAAGATTCTGCATGCCAAATTGAACCACCTACACTGTAGTTTCTGGTCATAATAACCTAATGCTTGTTTAATGTGGAATTTGTAGAGCTAAAAATGGGACTCTGAATTATGAAGCATATGATAATACTATCCTTACTAATTCCCCCAAGCCTACAAGTAAGAATCAGATCAACTTTAAGTTGATCTTTAATTCTTTTGAGATATTAACATACCAGACTTGCCAGCTCGAATCACTTAGGGAAGACCTAAGCAAAAAATCAATGTAAATAAAATCAAGTATGAGCATCTGAGGCAATGAAGCACAAAATAGATGGCCTTCTTCATGGGGTCAGGCTTTTCATCTCCAGCACCAACAAGGAGTATGTGACTTAATTACCAGCTGTCCTGACTGAGCCACCTGACCTCAGGCCATTACTTAACTACTATCATGACACAGTGAATTACAAAGACCAGATGAACATATGAACAGATATGGAGCCCTACAAGGTTCCCTGACCTCACGAAGGATACCAGAAATCGCTTCACTTTAAACAAAAGCAAAGCAGCTGTTGAGGTCAAAGTGCTATGATAAATATGCAGAAATGAGTGTGAAACTATGAAGTAAAAGTAGAGGTGGGAAAGTCCCCACATTAACCATTTGACTTTGTTTTTAAAATGAAAATTTTTCCCAATGAAATTATTCTTCCCTCTTTATATGGAAATCAGTACATATTCATCAGTGGTGCATAATCATCAATGCAAAACTATAGAAAACATAACTGAAAGCAATCTTGTATGTTTAGCTTCCAAACTCCTTTAACTAACAAGTAATCATCATAATATGTCTAAGTGACCATGATCTAGCTTCATTTTTATCTTTAGAAGATGAAAAACCAGTTTCTCTGGTTTCCAGGGCAACTAAAAGAATTCTGAAAGCAAGCTAATACATCCAAAGATACACTATATCCTATACAGCATGGTAGAGATTTCAAGTAATAATTTCAAATCAATTTCTAAAGAACCACTAAGTACAAGGGCTCAGACAGACCAGACTTCAAAGTCTGGTTCTGCTATTATTAAGTAGTGGGTTATTTTTGACAGTTAGCTTACTTCCTTCGTTGAAAAAAAAGAATAATAACATCTACTCGATAGAGTTATGAGGATTAAAATAGGTAATTGATGTAACCTAGCATGCTGCAAAGAACATAGAGAGCACTTAATAGAACACTATTTAATTAAAGGAGATTTGGTTAAGTTAAATGATCAGATGAACATCATTTAAGATCCACAAGTCACCTTCCCTCCCTCTCTCCCGTTGTTGCCAAAAAAGGGATCCACAAGTCCCTGAAGGCTTGGAAAGAGAGCTCTGAAACAGAGGCATCTAAAGAGAAGGAAATACCAAACCGAGGTAGGAAAAACACCTCAGCAGCAAAACAAAGGTGCTCTGAACAATGAACTTCATTCAGTGAAGGGCAGTTCTCACGTGAACTAAGCTGCTCCAGAGTGAAGATTTGGTAGCCATGTCAACAGAAGCTAGAGGAAGATTCTTTATAACTAAAGAAGAAATGCCGAAAGTGGTTCACGAGACTCAAAAGACAGGTTGTATTCAGTAAAACAGAATGAAGTAATTTTAACATCGGAAAAAAACATGAGAACTGAGAACGTTTTCCATTCCATTTACAATGCAGTAAATCTCTTCTATTTAGTAATAAGACATTTGAATGCCCAGGGTAGCCTTGCCTCTGGCTGTATAGGTTTTATTGAGTCTCTAAAATTTTCAAGGGGATATATGTCTCCACCTAAAGAAATCAGTGAAACAAAGATGCTTCATTACTAAGATGATGTAACCAGTCCATCTTTGTCTAAAAACCCCTTCCAAATATTTTTAAAATGCATACTATTTGTACATTTATATAATAATTTTATAGAGATATTTGCTAAGTCTAGTTTCCATCAGAGAGCAAATAAATAATCTAAAATTACTTGTACTTAATTATATTTTAAAAAGAAAAAAAAAAAGAATTTCCAAAGCTAGGGATTTTTTTTCAGGCCCCTATGTTTTTTCTTTCTTTCTTTCTTTTTTTTTTTTGAGACAGAGTCTTGCTCTGTCACCCAGGCTGGAGTGCAACAGCACTATCTCATCTCACTGCACCCTCTGCCTCACGGGTTCAAGTGATTGTCCTGCCTCAGCCTCCCGAGTAGCTGGGACTACAGGCGCACCACAACACCTGGCTAATTTTTGTATTTTAGTGGAGATAGGTTTTTGTCATGTTGGCCAGGCTGGTTTCGAACTCCTGACCTCATGTGATCTACCCTCTTCAGCCTCCCAAAGTGCTGGGATTACAGTTGTGAGCCACCACACCAGGCCAGGCCCCTAGGGTTCTGGTGGACCAAGTACAGAGCACAGGTAATCATTTAGTGAATATGAATCATCCATAAGTGTAACTCACTTTTCATGTTCATATGTATCCATTCAAAGAAAAGCTGATAATAATGATAGTTTGCCAAGACATAAATGGATGCATATTCAGTGAACCTTTCATTTCTCCACAATTAAGCCTAATTTATGATGTTAATAATTACACCACATAGTCACCACAGCTCCCTTTTTCATTGTTTGATCTATCTTTTCTTTTTGTTTGATGCCTTTCTTACGTCTTAATATCTTGCCTAAATATAACTGAAATAAAGTAACACTAAAAGCACTTCTTTAACTGTCAATGCATAATAAAACTTGTGAAAACTTGCAAGTACAAAGAAGTGCATGAGAAAAATGAACAGGCACTCAGACACATGTCATAAGTTTTTCCTAACAAGTCTGTTCAAGTTGACAATTACAGGCTGGCTGCAGTGGCTCAGACTAGTAATCCCAGCACTTTGGAAGGCTAAGATGGGCTGATTGCTTGAGCCCATGAGTTTGAGATCAGCCAAGGTAACATGTCGAAACCCCAACTCTAGAAAAAATAAAAAATTAGCTGGGTATGGTGGTGAGTGCCTGTACTCCCAGCTACTCAGGAGGCTGAGGTGGGAGGATTCTCTAAGCCCAGGAGGTTGAAAGGCTGCAGTGAGCTGTAATCGTGCCACTGCACTCCAGCCTGGGCAACAGAATGAGACCCTGTCTCAAAAACAAAAAAGCAAACAAAACAAAATCGACCATTTAAAAAAACTGAAAATGGAAGTAAAAGTTAGTTGTAAAAATGTCTGTTTCTGCTGGGCACGATGGCACGTGCCTATAGTCCCAGCTACTTGGGAGGCTGAGGCTGGAGGATTGCTTGAGCCCAAGAGTTCTGGGCTGTTGTGTGCTATGCCAATCAGGTGTCTGCACTAAGTTTGGCATCAATATGGTGACCTACTAGGATCGAGGGACCACCAGGTGGCCTAAGGAGGGGTAAATAGGCCCAAGTCGGAAAAGGAGCAGGTCAAAATTCCCATGCTGATCAGTAGCAGACTGCGCCTGTGAATAGCCACTGCACTCCAGCCTGGGCAACATAGCAAGACCCTATCCCTGTCTCTCAAAAAAAAAAAAATGTCTATTTTCAAGTCTGTTTCTGGAAGCTTATTCAGAGTAGAGAAAAACACTTTTAAACAATGATAATGATATTCTTCATGTATTGCTAATGCAAAACTCTAATAGGAAGTATCTTCAGCAAATGCCTAAGAAAATATATTATCACCTTAAACACTGTTAAAAAGACACAAAGTTTGAAGACTGGACATATAGCTACTAAGACTCTTTCAGAAATCATCTTATCTACATATACATGAAATGTATACATTTTAGAAAATGTCTATCATTAAGTTAATAATGCTGAAAACTTCCAGGGGTAGGGAAAGTACAAAAGGAAATAGTCTTAGGCTTCAAGAAAATATTAGTAGATACTTACAATATGCAAAAGTTTTAACACATCCACAAACCTGTAAAAAACAGCAATGAAAAAAAGTTTTAAATGTGCCAATTGGGGGAAAAACAGTCCTCTGAATTGTAAACTAGATACCTACACTTTCTCTGAGCTCATGATCTCCTTGGCAATATGATGAACTTTACTTTTCATTCCATTTTCTTCATCCTGTGGATAAGAGCACATTTAAAAAGCATGAACTCATGAAAGAATAATGAAGATGAGCTGTGAGCTAGTCAGACACAAATTTTAACCCTGACACTTGTAAGTTTCCTACTAGCACACAGTTCATACTATATTACATTTCAAATGGTAAACATGGAAAATTGGATGAGTGATAACCCATGTCACAGGAGTGGCCGAGAGCAATCAGTAATCTTCACCGTCATTAGCTGGATTTATGAATTGCCCTGAGCAGCTTCAGAACACAACCATCAGAGGTTCAAAATGGAAGTCACAAACCAAAAAGGCTGCAGGGGAAACAGCCCCTTACAGATAGATAGTGGAAGAAGAGTCCTCTGGGTGCATACGAATAATTTAAGAATTAGTGAATATCCAATAGGAATGTAGACAAGAACTTCACCAGAAGTAAAGCTATTTGAACTCACAACTTAAGTATAGTCTGAACAGGGCTCTTCAATCTATAACAAATACAAGTCAACATTACAGCCACAGGCTCTCCGAATTTCCTTAAAATCCCTTTTAGATATGTGCTCGTAGAGTCAAGGCAGTTTTATTCTAAGGAGCTGAAATGAAATTTTTATTTTATTTTATTTTTGAGACAGAGTCTTGCTCTGTCGCCCAGGCTGGAGTACAGTGGCACGATCTCAGCTCACTGCAATCTCTACCTCCCAGGTTCAAGCAATTTTCCTGCCTCAGCCTACTGAGTAGCTGGGACTACAGGTGCATGCTATGACACCTGGCTAATTTTTTGTATTTTTAGTAGAGGGGGGGTTTCACTGTGTTAGCCAGGATGGTCTCGATCTCCTGACCTCGTGATCCACCCACATTTGCCTCCCAAAGTGCTGAGATTACAGGCATAAGCCACCACACCGGACCATGAAATTCTTTCATTACGGACTGCTTTGTATAAAAATTAAATGCCCTAGCGGGAACAAAAAATATGTGCATGTTTAACAAAATAATAATAAAGATGACTCAAAAAAAAGGTCTCAATATTTAGGTAAATTTGTTGCTGTTGTTTTCAATAAAATATTGAGAGCTGGATTTAGTTCCAGAGAAGTCAGAGAAGAGGAGAGGAGCTTCTCTCCATTTATGTTCTAGTTCAAAATCAGAACACGACAGTTCCACAGTAAAGAGCAAAAAGAGCAAGGAACAAGCAAGTATAAATTTAGGTATTACACCTAAGATGAAAATGATGACTACTGACATTAAAAGGAAAATGCTTAAATGTTTCTTTGAAGAAACATCAGACCTGGTTTTAGAAACAGGTTTCTTTGCATTCTTTTTTTTTTTTTTTTTTTTGGTGCCATGACTCGAATTTCTTTGCATTCTCGGTAGCACTGGCAACACCGGAACACAGTTATTTTGTGCTGACCAGGGTGCAGCTGAACAAAGCAATGACATGATTAGCATTAAAAATGACCATGACAGGCCAGGTGCAGTGGCTCATGCCTGTAATCCCAGCACTTTGGGAGGCTGAGGCAGGCAGATCATGAGGTCAGGAGTTTGAGACCAGCCTGGCCAATATGGTGAAACCCCATCTCTAATAAAGATACAAAATTAGCTGGGTATAGTGGTGCATGCCTGTAATTCCAGCCGCTCAGGAGGCTCAGGCAGGAGAATCACTTGAACATGGGAGATGGAGGATTCACTGAGATGAGATTGGCCCACTGCACTTCAGTCTGAGTGACAGAGCGAGACTCTTTCTCAAAAAACAAATAAATTAAATTAAATAAATAAAAAATGACTGACAATCCAGTAGTCATTCATTAATGAAATGCCGCAGGAAAAAAATAATGGTAGCAACTTCTCTCTAAAAGTAGTCTTCTTTTTAAAATTGTAATCATGGATCATCGTAGCACATCTGCTTCCCAGAGACTCACTGTGATGGATCACATGACTATTTTAGTTCTCGATTTGGGAATTTTTTTTTTCTTTTTTAAATTTCCAAATACAACATTGAGGAGGAAAAAAATGCTTTCGAGTGCTTCCAGAATTTCAGTGCCACAACCAAGGTATAAAAACAGATCCAGGTTTAGCCAGATGCGGTGGCTCACGCCTGTGATTCTAGTACTTTGGGAGGCCGAAACAGGCAGATCATGAGGTCAGCAGATCGAGGCAGAGGCAGGCGGATCACAATGTCAGCAGACAGAGACCATCCTGGTTAAACAGTGAGACCTTGTCTCTACTAAAACCACAAAAAATTAGCCAGGCATGGTGGCACATGCCTGTAGTTCCAGCTACTTGGGAGGCTGAGGGAGGAGAATAACTTGAACCTGGGAGGTGGAGGTTGCAATTAGCCGAGATCACATCACTGCACTCCAGCCTGGGGGACAGAGCAAGACTCCATCTCAAAAAAAAAAAAAAAAAAAAAAAAAATGGATGCAGGTTTCACAATGAATGTAACCCTTCTGAAAATTAATTTTAGTAATTTTTTAAAGCATGACTGTATATGTTCCATACATAAACTGAAACCTTTTTATGCACTTACTTAAAGCATGGGTGATGTTCCAGTGAATAAACAGGAAGAGAATTCCTCAAGGTTTTATAGCATTTTAGAATTTAGATTTTTTTAAAACTGTAATTAGGCTGGGTATGGTGGCTCACACCTGTAATCCCAGCACTCTGGGAGGTCGAGGGAGGTGGATCACCTGAGGTCAGGAGTTCGAGGCCCGCCTGACTAAAATGGTGAAACCCCATCTCTACTAAAAATACAAAAATTAGCTGGGCATGGTAGCACATGCCTGTAGTCTTAGCCACTAGGGAGGCTGAGGCAGGAGAATCGCTTGAAAACAGGAGGCAGAGGTTGCAGTGAGCCGAGATGGCACCACTGCACTTCGGCTTGGGCAAGAAGAGTGAACAGTGTCTCAAAACAAAACAAAATAAACAAAACAAAAACAAAAAACTGCAGTTACTTCTATGCTCATAAGAAGTCAGAAAACTACAGGGAAAAATTTTATTTTTGCACTCATTCTTTTTACTATATTGACAACCATTAGAATCATAAATAATACTCGGTCATTAGAGTCAATGAAGTCAAACACAGGGACTATATAAAGTGAGAGCTGGACCAAGAGCACAGTCCCAAAGAACCTCCACTTAAAATACACATTTGTCAAGGCTCAAAGTCGACTATTAGCACAGTTGGGAAAAGAATCCAGATTTCCCAATATCTAATCTACAAATAATTGTATTACACTTTGAATCTCAACATCTGCCTATAATCTCAGCATATCCTCACGAATAATCACTGCTAAACAATACCCACACATCCACTCTCCCACCAAGACTGAGCTAATCTAAACATTCTGAAATATTTGCTTTAAATCTTTCTTCACTTTCTTTTTTTTTTTGAGATGGAGTCTCGCTTTGTTGCCAGGCTGGAGTGCAGTGGCACGATGTTGGCTCACTGCAACCTCCGCCTCCCAGTTTCAAGTGATTCATTCTCCTGCCTCAGACTCCTGAGTAGCTGGGATTACAGACACACACCACCATACCCAGCTAATTTTTGTATTTTTAGTAGAGACAAGGTTTCATCATGTTGGCCAGGATGGTCTCAATCTCCTGACCTTGTGATCCACCCGTCTCGATCTCTCAAATTGCTGGGATTACAGGCGTGAGCCACTGCGCCCAGACTTAACATAGGTTCTTGAATGATGGAGACTAATAGGTTTTGCTCAACTACATTCAATCACCTTTTTTTTTTTTTGAGACAAAGTCTGGCTCTTGTTGCCCAGGCTGGAGTGCAGTGGTGTGATCTCTGCTCACTACAACCTCCACCTCCCAGGTTCAAGTTATTCTTCTGCCTCAGCTTCCTGAGTAACTAGGACTACATGCACATGCCACCACACCCAGCTAATTTTTGTACTTTCAGTAGAGATGGGGTTTCACCATGTTGGCCAAGATGGTCTCGATCTTCTGACCTCATGATCCACCTGTCTCGGCCTCCCAAAGTGCTGAGATTACAGGTGTGAGCCATCACTCCTGGCCATACATTCACTCACCTTTTAAACTACACATAGCTATATTCCTCAGGAAGACTGTAGTCTTAAGCACAGTCTGACCTTGACCTGGCAGACCACGTATCAGGCACTAAATAATCATGATTATATAAGGGTCTACACACACACACACGCACACACACATACACACACACACACACACACACACGGATAATTGTTATTTTGAAAAAATATTTTAACAAGTCCAAACTTTTCTATCACAATGGGGTTCTCCATATAATCTGTAGATAGAAAGTTTAATGGTTATAAAATTCAGTCTATAAATTTTAAATTAGGGATGAGCTTGGCATGGTGGCTCATGTCTGTAACCCCAGCACTTTGAGAGGCCAAGGTGAGAGGACGGCTTGAGCCCAGAATTTGAGACCAGTCTGGGAAACATAGCGAGACTGTGTCACTAGTAAAAAAAAAAACAAAATGAAAAACTAATAATAAACAAAATTAAAATTACAAATGCACTAAAAATGAGAAAAACAGAAACTGAAACCATTTAGGGAACTGAAGCCCTGACTCCTTCATTTCCAAAGAATGCAATGTCCCTTAAAGGACAAGAGAGGATCTCATCAGTACCTTTAAAGAAACGCAGGGACACTATAGGTATGGAAGCATGTGATTACTAGTGTCAGCTAAAATGTGTAGCAGCTCTACACAAACATTTCAAGTAGGTGTTAATGTATTTTTGGCATCTACTCTTGTTCCCTCTGCTCTTTTTAGCACTCTGCTTTTGTTTAGGTCTCTACTCTGTACCTATTTTTTCTCTCCTTCTCAGAACCTTGCTCTACCAGGACCTGCATTACACAGGCTTGTGTAGAAAAGGCTACTCCATACAAAAAATTACTAAAAATGTGAAAACTCTAAAACTTCTAGAAGAAACCTTTTTTTTTTTTTTTTTTGAGACAGAGCTTCACTCTTGTTACCCAGGTTGGAGTGCAATGGCGCGATCTCGGCTCACCGCAACCTCTGCCT